CTGGCACTGATGTATGAGTACACCAACCCCAAGTCCAGATGGAGGCCATACCTGCAGCTGGTACCAGACTTCTCAGAACTAGATCAACCCATGTTTTGGACAGAGTAAGATTTTTCATGGTCGTGACTTTTGATACATGGAATGAGCTGTTTTGATTTTTGCATAGTCGCCAAAGACCACGGTTGCATTGCAGCTTCTCTTTGATTGTGTACAGGCATAACTTGTGCAGAAGAATGGACAGATAGAGAAACCCATAAAGGCATGAAAATTGAACTGCACTTGTCCATTATGGAGTTAGGACATCCATATCTACCTACTTTTCCAGATACAGCTGCAGTTTGCTTGGTCATCACCACTTGTTAGCCTATGTATGGACTCAATGAAATAGCCAGTAGAATCCATTTGAAAAATTATGGTGACAATCAGTGGTAAATAATACACACTTCCTCAAACAATGTTTCTTGTGATGAATTCATATATCTTCTTGTATTACAGAGATGAAATAGAAAAAGATCTGTGTAATACAGGCATACCAGAAGCTGTCAAAAGTGACTTAACCAAGATGAAGCTGGAGTATACTTCATTAGCGCTACCATTCATCAAGAAGCACAGCCACATCTTCAGGTAGAAGTGGATTCCTTTGAAAAAGTTGCCCATCCCTTCTGATTTATTGTGTTAATTTCCTGGCTGTAATAGTTTGTTTTACCTTAATACTAGTAATACCTTAGGACAAATGAACCCAAACTATTATAACCATTTGTCATGAACGTATGAACGTCTCTTTCAGTGAGGAGGTACACTCCTTTGCACTATACAAGAGAATGGTGGCCTTTATAATGGCATACAGCTTCTTTGAACCAGTGAGTGATGAAGATGGCCAGGGGGATGAGGGGGGCAAGTCATCCTTGCCGCTGATGGTTCCCATGGCTGACATCCTGAACCACATTGCCAAGAACAATGCCCACCTGGAGTGGGACAAGGACTGTCTGAGGATGGTGACCACCAGGCCAGTGGCTGCTGTGAGTTATCAGTACCTGCCGCAGGTGGTCCTATCTGGAGCTTACTGCAGAACTTTAGTTGGCAAAGAAAAGGCTCCAATAATATGAATTATGATTGGGTTAACTCAAGGTTTAGCTATTTTTGTTTCCCAAGTGGATTTTGCCAGCTCATCAAATCACTGTGTATTTCATGTCTATTCCAAGCAAAGGCAAGACAATGATGGTGGGAGGTGCTGGCATTGATGATCCACCATATCTGGTCCATTGTTCCCCAAAAAATCATACATGCTTGAAAGAAACTGCATCTCAACTGTACAGTATATCTTTCTTACTTACTTTCTAGAGATTTATTCTGAAATGAATGATTCATAATTTAGTCTTCATAAGGGACTGTCTTCACTTGGTTTTGCTCCAGGGTGAGGAGGTCTTCAACACCTTTGGTGAGCTGGCCAACTGGCAGCTACTGCACATGTATGGTTTTGCAGAGGTCTGGCCAGAAAACATCTATGACACAGTGAGTATAGCCAGGTTAGGGATAGGGATAGCAGAAGGTTTGCCACTAATATACAACCTGAAATTTCCTCTACTTCTTAAAAATATTTTGGACCAAAAAATAGTTCACAACATTTTTTATTATTCAGCATCGAAATGTAATGCTGGTAATAACAATACACAACCAGTGGAGCATTCTATATTTTGTTGCCTTCACAGTGTTGTTGATATGCAGGTAACATTCATTCATTCATTCATTCTTTATTTCAGGTAAAAAACCCATATAACATGTACAATACATCATTAAAATAAAACAAAAACACTACAGACATACAAGTAAAACAGGAAGAAACCTAAAAGCATAACAAATGGTAGGTCTTCCGAAAGAATGAATTCCTGTAGAAGGCATCGGAATGAATTAAGCGACAGATTGTTGCGTTATTGGAGGAAAATAACCTTTTTAGAAAAGAATAACAAATTCTCCTCCTCCTGGTTTCAAAAGTGTCAATATAGTTACAGACAAACATTTCACTCGCGCTGCAACGCCGAGGCAGTAACAAGACAAGAAATTCACCCAGTCCTGTTTCAAGGAGTGTGAAATTGCAATGAGAAGAAAGTCCAGGGGACTGTGCATTATCTTCTCATGGCCTCCATTGACATATATTTTGCTGGGGCAGCTTAGAGGGTATAACCCTGTTCTATCTAGATTGATCTAGGGGGACCTGGTCATTGGAGATAGTGGCTGGCCACTTCACAATTACATTCAGTACATGTAGGTATATATCACATGGTCATTCCTTACTTCACTGTCATACAGTGACCTGTTTTTCTAAGTTTGGTCAATACTTCACTATTGAAGCCAACTTTGCAAAATCTGTAGTCTTCCCTATTGGTTCCTAATTGCCAGCCAGCAATGGTATACAAACACATCTACACATTAACCCCTTGTGTACCAATAAACAAGAAGGCATGACTTATTCTGTAGGTTGCTATATTCCAGCATGACCTCTGCTATGATGCCAGACCCCTAGCTGCCAGCATCATTCTGCTCACACATGATGTTCATACGTCTTGTGCGTGAGTGTAGTGGGTAATTGGCAGCATAAACTGATGGAGTTGTCAGGTCTGGTACACCATCAATTCTAACTGGTGGGCAAAGATCCTCGGGGTAATTGAGCCATGAAGGAGCTTAAGATGTGGACTTGATAGGCTGCAAATGGTGGGTTGTCAGCTGGGTGTTGTTTGATGGATGAGAGGGGAACTGCCCTAGATGTGCAGTCTGACCTTCAGTCTACAGATAGGTGTGTCAGTCATGCAACAATAACTTTCCTGTGATCCTCTCAACAAGATAAGGAAATAGAGAAGGGAGGAAAACTGTGCGTGAAGTTAGGTTGCAAGTAGATGTATGTAATCTTGTACCTTACAAACCTTTGATAGTGCCCATACAGTTTTATTGGTGAATGTACTATAGATTAAGAAATAGTCCACCATGCTCAGAGTAGGAAATGGCATCCTCTGTAAACATGAAATAATACTTTTATACTCATCAATATTATGGTTCAGGACTAGGTACAGACATGACAAGACACTAAAGGAAGAAGATATGTTTTTCTTTATTATTTTTTTGGCCATTCACACATGGAGAAGATGATCTGAATGTAGCCGTGGGTAACAAGAAAATCAACAGAAATATGCTCGCTGATATCACAATCAAATAACACCTAGCACCTTCTTTTACCCTTTATGAAATAATGTGAAAGTAATTACTCTAGAAAATGTTTTTGTATGTTGTCACCTCTATTGCCTAGTGGTACGAGGTTGAATGAATGATGGGTGGATGTTATACTTATATGGAAATAACACATTGTCAACACTGTCATTGAATAATACAAAATGTACTGAAATGGAGCATGCAATCAATAAGGCTACCCGGCATTGTTATCTTTCAAAGAAATCATCCCAGCCAAACAGCCTAGACATGCACATGATTCACATACAATGATTGTCAACAAGATCCATTACCCCCTTCCAGCTCTTCTTGGAAAAGAGCTGCCCTTTGGGGGAATAAGCTGCCCTTCCTGGAAAACAGTTTCTCCACAGGCTCAGAGATTATTGAATGATAACAGCAATTTTTAGGATACTGATACCTTGGACTTAAGTGTGATTCTGAGACCTTCAAAGATAGATTGCAAAAACTACATGAATAGACC